AGTATTGGTTGGTTCTGTACTTCTGAGAATTTGTTCATCTCCTCTAATTTATGTGTTTATAACACAACAAACTGGGGTGGGGAAGTGCGCTCCGGGAATTGAATTCAGGGCCTCACACTTGTTATGTAAGAATTCTACCTCCAAGCCACACCCCAGCTCCTGTGGTTCTTTTCATTTTTTTTTCCATTTAACATACCAACTACAATTCCCCCTCCCTCCCCTCTTCCAGCTCCCCATCACCGCCCCCTTACCCTATCCCCTATCTACTCCTCAGAGATGGTAAGGCCTTCCATGGGGAGTCAACAAATTCTGACATATCAAGTTGAGGCAGGACCAAGCCCTTCCCCATAGGGAATGGGCTCCAAAAAGCCAGTTCATGCACTAAGGATAAATTCTGGTCCCACTGCCAGGGGCCCCATGGGTTCTTTTCTAATTTTTTTGTTTGTTTTGGTTATTTTGGGACAGGGTCTCACTATATATCCCAACTCCTTTCTCTGCCTCCTGAGATTAAAAGCATGTGCCACTATGATTCTTTTTTAATTTCTTCAAGGTCAGTAGCAATGTCTCATTTTTTTCTTCCTCATTTGAAAATTGCACCTCTTCTTTATTTTTTTCCTGGCACGTGTAGCCTAAGGGTTGCCGGTTTTGTTGATATTTTGATATAACTTTTAAAAAAGGAGAAGGAAAGAAAGCATATTTTTAGCCAGTTTGGATGGTGAATATCTGTAACCTCAGCAGCGAAACTGGAGGGTCAACGGTTCAGCGCTGTCCTGGGCCACGTTTAGAGAAGCTATCTAGGAAAAAATAAAGATAAAATAGCTTACTCTTGATTCTTTCTCCTCCTCCTTTGCTTTATTTCACTCATACTGCTCTAATTCTCACACTTTGTGACTTGTGTTTTTGTTTCCTTTTCCCTAGGATATGAGCGGTATCTTGAAATGGTGCGTATGGGTGACTCCAAGTGGTGCTTTTGTGTAGTAAAGATGGATTAGTAGTTGTCCCTATTAGTTTTTTTTTTTTTGTCAGTTTGACACAAGCTAGAGTCATTTGAGAAAGGGGAACCTCAATTGAGCAGATGAACCTATTAGATTAGCCCACAGGCAAAGCCTAGGAGTCATTTTCTTGATTAATGGTTGATGTGGGTTGTATTGTATGGGACTGGATTATATAAGAAAGCAGGCTGAGTGAGCCATGAGGATCAAGCAGCACCCCACCCCACCCGCATGCTCTCTGCTTCAGTTCCTGTCCCTGCCCTGACTTCCCCTCATGATGGACTGTGATCCGGACATGTAAGCTGAAAAAATAAACCCTTTCCTCCCCAAGTTGTTTTTGGTCGTGGTGTTTATCACAGCAATAGAAACCCAAACTAAAACAGGAGACACTACAAATATTTTTATGCCAGTGGGAAAAATCTCTCCTAGATCAAGGGGATTTGGATGCTGCATTATCTAGAACTGCTGGTCCTAGGTAGACTTGATCGTCTCATCCCTGTGGAGAATGAACTAGACTCAATGGTAGTGAATGTGGCAGTTTAAGTCAGAGTTAGGGCCACAAAGGGCATTAGAGATTTCAGAGTCATTTTCCTGTGACTTAACTTCACTATTTCACACTCCCTTCCTGCTGCCAGTCCTGAATCTCCTGGTTCATAGGTGTTTTGTACACAGAAAGCCTGACCAATGCCTCAGAGAGGTCATGGGCACTGCTCATCATTCTTACTTTGTTCACTGAAAATAGACGATTACTGACTTTAAAAAACACACACACACACACCTTGGGATTTGTAATTCTTACCTAAGTTTCCAGTAATTGATCTCTTGTTTGGCAAGCTTCACAAGCTCTTATGTTCAAGTATTATCCTTGAATCTGTTTTTGCCAACCTGATAGCATCAGCTTCCTTTAAAACACACATAAAGTTAGAACTAGGCTCATTTGGGGATTGGTTTTTGTTTGTTTGTTTTTTTTTTTTTTTTTTGAGACAGGGTTCCATGCAGCCAAGGCAAGGGTGCTCTTGAACTTGCTAAGTAGATGAGGTTGACCTCGAGCTGCTGAGCCTCCTGCCTCTGCCTCCTGTGTGCTGGGATTGCAGACAGGAGCCATTATGTCTGGCTGCCCACATTCATTTTAAGCCCTAACTTTTCTTGTGTAAACTTCCCCCACTACAATCTGTTATCTCTGATGTGGGCCACCACTGGAGTTCAGGCTTTTTGTTCTTCCCCTAAGTAATCTGTTCTCTCTAATGTGGGGTACCGCTAGAATCCTGGCTTTGAACTACTCACAAACGCACAGGCTGTCTGTGCAGAGCTGTGCAAAACAGCCAGGACCTGTGGCTTTGCCCTTAGTTTCCTTGAGAACTCATATATCTGCACCCTACCTTCAGTGAGGCAGCAAAGCCTTCCCTATGCTTCTCACCCAAATTTGTATTATTTCCGTGAGATTTCAAGGGAGGTGAAACTCACCCCGTATTTAGGCGAGGCAACTGTGTTTTCAAGAAGTATAGATACTCCCAGTGTCACACAGCAGGTAAGTGGGGACATTTCACAGAGGCCTATGTCTCTGTTCAGAGTCAGGGCTTTCCCTGAGGCTCCTCAGGTGTCAAGTGCACCAATGATGTGGAAGGGGGATAGTTGTGTTACAGAGACAACAATGAGGCAGAGATGGAAAGATTGAACTAGTTCTTCATCCCTAGGAGTCAGATCTGGACATTGAAGAAGCCAAAAGCAGTTTCTAAGAAACTGAAGAAGATATTCCAAGCTCCTGATCTGAGAGACATGCTCCGCACGTTCAGAAGTGAGTGGGGAGCACAGCGGAGGAGTGTTCGTAGAGGGCTCCTGTGTCATCGGGGAGTCAGTTGAAAAGTAAAGGTGAAGAGAGGAGGGCGGCCAGGGAGGAGCACTCTGTGATGAAGAGGATGCAGTTGTACCTGAGGGAGCACTGTAACGGATCTGGTCGGTCCTCTCCTTTACCAGTTGCCTTTCTTACCTCTAGAGAGAGTATTACTTCTTCCAAAGTTTGCTTCTAATAAAGTCACCAAATCTTTTATTGTTTCAGAGCTAACAGCTGTCCGCGGCTACTGGGGTAAGAAGTGGCAGATCTTCAAATCACTGTGTTCTGATCACCTTTCTCAAGTCCTGGTTCAGTGAGGTCTCATCACCTTCGTCTCCTGTGTTACCACGTACACATACTGTGTTCCTCTAAGGCTTTGTATGGTGGTACATGCCTATAATTCGAGCACTAGGGAGATGAGGCAGGAGAACTGCAGGTCTAAGGCTAACCTGGGCTACTTAGCAAGACCCTGCCCTAAAACACCAACTATATAACATGCTTATGTTGTTTGACCATCTCCCACATCAATCAGTACTACTTTCCCCTAACCTTTCCAGTGTTCGGTTTTCACAACGTCATCCTTCAACCTACCACTGTACCTGTCGCCTGACCTTTTTCTTTCTTTTTTCCCTTGCAGCGGACTTCACATTTAATCCAGAAAACCTAAATTTGAATCTTATTCTTTCAGAAGATCACAGACAAGTGACATCTGTGCCCATTTGGCCATTTAAGTGTTATAATAATGGTGTCTTGGGCTCCAAATGTTTCTTCTCAGGAAAACATTACTGGGAAGTGGATGTGTCTAAGAAGAGTGCCTGGACTCTGGGAGTTTATGCTAGAAAACGTACTTTAAAGTTTGATGTTAGACGAGGCAAAAATCAGCCAAATGTTTACCACAGATACAAACCTCAGAATGGCTACTGGGTTATAGGGTTACAGGATGAATCAAAGTATAGTATCTTTGAGGATTCTTCCAACTGTGACCCTACAGTTCTGACCCCCTTTGTGGCTGTCCCTCTCCATCGGGTTGGGGTTTTCCTTGACTGTGAAGAGGGCATAGTGTCCTTCTTTAATGTCACAAACCACGGGTCACCCATTTACACGTTCTCTCAATGCTGCTTTTCCAAACCGGTGTATCCATACTTCAATCCTTGGGACTGCCCAGCCCCCATGACCCTGTGTCTTCTGAACTCCTGAGTCTTCTCATTCTCATCAATTTCTGGTATTACTTCTTGCCTTGAGGCTCCCCTTTATCTGGACATACCTGTGTCATTTGGACACCTTTTCCCTTGGTCTCCCTTCTTAAAAACTTAAGTTGTGCTTAGATGTGGTGAATCTGGCATCATTTTGGAGAGATGCTTATCCATTTACTCTTATTCATATCCTCAAAGGCAGCTAATCAAGTTGAAAGCCCGCTGGATCAATCAGTATACCATCCATGCCCACTGACTTCATATTTCCCTTTGTCTTGAAGAAATGAGACGACACCAGTTAGCCACTCATCTCTGTTACTTAAGATAATCCATAAGAACTGGCCTCCTGACCATCACAATGAGTTTTTAAGAATATGTTGGCTTGCCTAGGATATCTCACGTTCAACAGGGAGTCAAGGAATAGAAAATATAAACAGTGATGTGTAGCCTAGAGTTGGAGTTGTCTGGTATACAAATACAAATTCTGCCTCTTACAAAGTGTAATAAATTAACAGATTTTTTAAAACTAGAAATTAAAATGCACCTAAGATCATTGTATGAATCTAAATATCAGTAAATATACTCACTTGACTGTCTTGTACATAATAAACATATTTATGATTTCTGAACATTATAAGCCACATGACTATTTTATGCAATAGCTTTGTGCCCTTCTGAGTAATTACTGAGATTTCAATTTGTAAGTTCTGAAATTCTGCTCTCAACTGTCCTGATTTAAGTTTCTTTCTTTTTTTTTAAGATTTATTTATTATATATACAGTGTTCTGCCTGCATGTATGTCTGCAGGCCAGAAGAGGGCGCCAGATCTCATTACAGATGGTTGTGAGCCACCACCATGTGTTTGCTGGGAATTGAACTCAAGACCTCTTGTAGAGCAGTCAGTGCTCTTAACTGCTGAGTCATCTCTCCAGCCCCAAAACAATTATTGAAGAGATATTTAAATAAAAGAAGATCGGACAGCTCTGAAGTTAAGAATATTTATTTTTAACAAACAGAAACATTTACAAATAGTGAAAACAGAAAAAAAAATCTGGGATTTTGCAATCTAGTTATTCCATTTCTTAAAACAAAGTAGAGTAGTGATTTTGAAGTAAAGCAATATATATTCTTTATTTTCTTAATGGAGTCTTACTCTGTATGAGCCTGCCTTCAAATGCATAGCAATCCTCCTGCCACAACTCCCCCAGGTGCAGGGATGGCACAGATGTGCTACCACACAAAGTTCTGATACACATCTTAATAATCATTTATTTTAGTCACAGTGATAAGGACCGTGCCCCCCCCCCCCAATGGAATAAGACACCATACTGGACTGCTGAGACAAGGCAAGTCCCTAGTAATACTCTGTTGTTTATGTTTTACTATACAGTGAAAGATAAATTTGCCAGTATTGTCATTATTACTAAAAATAATCTGAAAATCACAAAATTTAGTACTCGATAAGGACCAATATATGACAACACAAAAATTACCCTTAAGTGTGAAAAAAAAAGAAGCATACAATAGCCATGAGAAACCTAGAGTGATCAGATCATGATAGTAGTTATCTAGGGACTAGGAATCAAGACTTGGGGAAAGCAATCCTTGTTCCCCATTTGCCCGTGGCTTCATGGGACACTATAATACAGTGTATATCTTACGGTAATTAACAGAGTAAACACTGAGATACTTCAGTGGATGCTCTATACTTAGCGAGTTTCTTTTTATTAGAAAATTGTATTTGTTTATTTTGTGTTTATGTATGTGTCTGGGCCTCTATATGCCACAGCATGTGTGTGGAATTCAGAAGACAGATTGTAGGAGTATGGGTTCAGGGGATCAAATTCAGGTGCCCGGGCTTGGGGACAAGGTCTATTACCCACTGAACTATATTGCCAGCTTCATATTTATTTTCTTACATTGGCTTGAGGCACCTGCAGTATTTACAGCAAAATTATATACAAAAAAGAATAAGCACATCTGTTAAGTATGTTATTCATGCTGGGACTGCTGGCATGTTTAGAACCAGGACTCTAACTTAAGTCCTCTGGATACACATGGTTTACTCTCTCTCTCTCAATCTCTTTCTGTCGTTCTCTGTCTCTGTCTCTGTCTCTGTGTGTGTGTGTGTATGTTTGTCTGTCTCTCTCTCTGTTTTAGGACATTAATGTTCTTCAAAAATATGGAACATGTGCCAGGCAGTGGTGTCACATGGCTTTAATCCCAGCACTTGGGAGGCAGAGGCAGGCAGATCTCTCTGAGTTCGAGGCCAGCCTGATCTACAAGGAGAGTTCCAAGACAACCAGAGCTATACAGAAAAACCATGTTTCGAAAAACAAATAACAAAAACAAACAAACAAAAGGAACAGCATGAATTTGTGTGTCATCCTTGGGCAGGGGTTGTATTAATTTTCTGTTATCATTCTACTTTTGGTAGACATGCTGCCTAAGTGAGCACACCATCTACTTCAGTGTGTATCATTTGTGATGTTCTCTCCTTAATTCCTTGATGAAGAAGCATCATGGTGAAAACAGCCTACTCTAAGGGTGCACTTCTTTTTTGTTGTTTTTGTTTTTCAAGACAGGGTTTCACTGTGTAGCCTTAGCTGTCCTGGAACAAGCTCTGTAGACCAGGCTAGCCTCGAACTTACAGAGATCCTCTGTCTCCCAAGTGTTGGGATTAAAGGTGTGCACCATTACTGGCCCGCATGGGTGCATTTTTTAACCATGAACTCCTACATATAATTTTCAAAATGAATGGACAAGTTGTTAAAGGACTTTCTTTAATCTTCTTGCATTGATGAGTAGAATGGGGTTATAGAGATATAACGGAGTCAAGTGGCTCAGTGGTGCAGTTCTTGGGATTCATCTTGGGCATAGAGAATAAAAGAAGAATTTGGCAGCAGAGTTATCTTACGTAGTGAGGACTCAAATATTTGCCCTTGAACATATGGGAAATGATTTACTATTCTCACCAAAAAAACAAAAACAAAAAAAACCCAAGGATCTGAAGAATATGGCCCAAAGAAATGAATATATCCTATTTACCAGTGAAAGATGTTCACAGAGAAAGACTAGAGACAGAAAAAATATATATATAGGTATATATATAAAATAAAGGGTAAAATGGTGTCCAGGAGTTCAGGCATATGAGATACACACCAGAGCCAGAGGCCCTACACAGAAACAGATGAAGGTTTATGAGTCTGACCAGCACACTGTCATTGGCTCTGAACATCCCATAGGATTAAAATATGGGAAAACCCTATCAGGAAAGGAATTTGCACAGAATCTATAGATGAGAGTCCCATGGTGGGAAATATTGTAAAACGAGAGGGTGCCAGCTGCATAGTCAAGGAAAATGCCAACACGGCAGGGAGGGACCATCAGAGACAGAGTCAAGACGCTGGGCTTGCGTGTGAAAGCACACTCCTCAAAGGCATTATACACGCACTTGTTCCACAGCCCTATAACCCAGAAGCCATATTTAGGTTGATAATGTGAATCATTACTAATACCCAAGCGAAATAAGGGATCTAGGCGTCTTTCAGCATTTGAACGAAATACTGGATTGAAGAGGTAGCTTCCATCACTCAACCCCAGAACCCAGGCACCTTTTCCAGACACATCTACTTCCCAATAATGTTTTCCTGACTGGATAGCTGGGTAGCCCAGAACACCTTCATGATAGCTCTCACCCCCAGGCGCAAAATTTCTTGTTTGACGGTCTTCATATCTTATTTGTCTCTTGTCCTCGGTAATGGCAATGTTTGGATTGTTGTTCTTAACGAGTGTCACTTGAACTGCACAAAAATGACAGGAGTGAGTGTCATGAGGACAGGAAACAGCCTTATTTGTGATATTATGAATAGAAGTTTAAGAAGAAAATGTGGAGGAACTTGATGTAGAAGTCACAGGAGAGGCAGAACATTGCAGAAGCATACAACATATTCTGGGAGAAGCAACATGAGGCCTAACAGAAACACAAGCTCTGCAAGACAGTGAGAAAGGAGTGGCTTATGGTGCTGTTTTTTCTCCTTACCCCAGTAGCGTTGGGCCTCTATGAGCTCTGAAATGATAAAAATTCACAATATTAAATGCAAGCAAAGGTACTCTAAAATCCATTTCTTCTCCAGATCAGGGGAAGAGTTGAAAACCATAATAGGGTCAAAGATGAATGGTCATTTCCCATCAGAGATGGTCAAATCATCAGTACATGGTATCTACTCTTCCTTGTCTGTATCTAGAAAGCACTAGACTCCCAAAGGCAAGTCATGTGACATAAGTCTCCTCACCTTGCAGCACCTGCAGCATGCCTCGCAGGTCAGGGGCTCTGAACACTCTTCTTCCTTCCTTGGGGATGGTTTTGGACTTCGTGAGTGAAAAACTGTGACTCCTGGGGATGAAAACAAGGGATGAGCCGGGCGGTGGTGGCGCACGCCTTTAATCCCAGCACTCGGGAGGCAGAGCCAGGCGGATCTCTGTGAGTTCGAGGCCAGCCTGGGCTACCAAGTGAGTTCCAGGAAAAGGCGCAAAGCTACACAGAGAAACCCTGTCTCGAAAAAACCAAAAAAAAAAAAAAAAAAAAAAAAAAAAAAGAAAACAATCGACCTCCAGTCCCTCTTAATGACCCCCAACCACCACTGACCTCCAGTCCCTCTTAATGTCCCCCAACCACCACTGACCTCCAGTCCCTCTTAATGTCCCCCAACCACCACTGACTTCCTCTCATTTCAAAACAGATTACTTGAGCTCTCTTAAGGATGCTGAAAAGGGTAGCCTGCCATCTGGGGATCTGAAAAATATTATCATGTGCTCTCCAACTTACTTTCAGTGTGATATTGGGAAGAACTTACATTCTCAGAATCATGGTTCTTGCTTTCTAAAATTATTTTCTGCCACTCTGCCTCCTTGAACTCACAAGAGACGATAAAATAATAAATCTTAAAACAAACCAAAACTAAGGTACTTGGGAGAAAATGTGTGGAAAAATATAGGTTTCTTCTGTATCCCAGAATCTAAACAATATTTATATGTATAATTCAGCTATTATTTGGCTTAAAAGGGCTAACTGGAAAATGTTAACATTTTTACTATTTTCTACAGAGAAAATATTTTCCAGTTTCAAATAACCCTGGACTTTTGAATTATAACCTGTTTTTATGCTCAAGCTATTTGTGTATTATTTCTCCTGCAGTTATACATAAAATGTTTTTACATTTAAAAAAAGGACCAATACTATAGAATTGTATTACATGAAATATATAGAATATACAAATTCATAGAGACAGAAAGATTAGCTGTTATCTCAAGATGGAGAAGAAAGGAATATAGAGCAATGATTTCCCAAGTACAGAATTTCTGTTTTATGTGATGGAAAAGCCCCACAAATGGACTATAGTATCAGGACATAATATCATGAATGTAATAAATCAATGCAATTAATGTAATTAATGAATATCATAAATATAGTTATCGAATGAATACTGCTAATGTAATCAATGAATACCACAAATGTAATTAATATCATGAGTGTAATTAATGAATATCATGAGTGTAATTAATATCTTGAATGTAATTCATGCCACTGAATTATGAACTTAAAAATGATTACAATTGCAAAAAATAAAAAATAATAATAAAATAAATCTTAAAACAAACCAAAACTAAGGTACTTGGGGAAAAATGTGTGGAAAAATATTTTCATGAATGTGGGTTCTTGGATCAAACAGCAGGGTACAGAACCCACACCTGGGTGCTCAAGGCAAAGTGTGGGAAATACACCTGGAAAAGTCCAACATCTTCAACACCTTTAGCTAACACAGAGAATCGCAGATAATATCTGATTTTTCAGACTCTTGTGGAAAAATTATGAACAGTTGGAGAAGATGAGGACATCAAACTAATATTAATATGATGCCAGTGTCTTAGGAAATTCCTTGGTGTGGCCATGTGAGTGTGCTATCTAAACCCAAGGAGATCCTCTTTCCACTGGAGAGTATAGGATAGAAATGGATCAGTTGGTCACACCTGTATCAAAGTGACATGTGCAGAGATTCAAGACTATTTTTTGTAAATCTAAATACTTCCAGAAAGACTGGATGTCTTCTAGTCTCAGGAGAAAATAGTGTGAACATACAGGAATTTTCCCAATGGACAAGTTTGTGTAGTTTGCAGACATAGAAGACACATGTCATCTACCACAAACCAAGCACCTGTTAAATCCAGATCCAGAGCCACATGCAGGCACATTGGATGAGTAAAATGCTGAAATTACAATGGAGTTAAGAGTACCCTAATCTTTTTATCTCAAATCACACTACTGAGCCGAATAGGTCCCCACAACTCATTTCTCTACCATAGACTCTAATCTGTTTTCAATAGTGGCAAAACACTCAGTCCCTGTTTTTTGTTTTTTGTTTTTTTTATCAGAAATTCAATACTACATGTAAATTGCCCCAACCTGGGAGAAATTATGTTTTGCTTGAAAACTAAGTCATTCTTACCACACAGAAAAACTGCCATTGGCAGCCATACATACCATTTTATGATGCCATCCACACCCTAGATAGGAACAGAAAAAATGGGAGTTAAGACTTCTCATTAAGATGAGAACCCTTGCAACTGAAACGGAAAGAAAACAGTCATGATAACACACAAGGAGCCATTTCCTGCAAGTGACAGTTTGTAAATGAGCTGATTAAGGCAGCAGAGATCACTGTAGGGAAGCAAGCAGCTTCCCCACAAATGGACTCCCAGAGCCAAGTCCACTGCCAGAGTGCACACAAGCTGGAAAAATGAAGCTGCCTGTGGCAAAGCAGCCAGCAGCTCCAGGAAGTGCTGCTCCTCACATACACTGGACCCACAAGACCAGAAGACATCACGGTGGGGTGCAGGGGTCTGAAGGAACCACTTGAAAAGGACTCAGAACCTATCCTTCCTCACACACCAGAACACAGGGAACATGTGGGCTGCAGAGATCTACACAGTACCAAGTAGAACCTTCTAGAGTCAAAGGGATCTGAGATGTTCATCTTTCAATTCAGTATAATTCACGTCAATGGTGTTCTTTTTACTTATTTTTCTATCATTATATACTCCACTCTTGCATACACCTCACTGTGGTTTGGCTTTTATCTGTGACTTGCTCAGTTAGGCTTTGAGATGGTTCCTTCGCCACACAGTCTACTCGATCACATTCTTTGCAAGACTTTTCACCCACATCTCATAGGCTTCCCTTCTTATTCCTACATTTTTTTTCCTTTCTCTCATTACTACCTCTCCTGTTTTAACTTCTTTTTAAGTTTCTTCTATATTTTATTTTATGTGTGTTTTGCCTGCATGTATGTCTGTGCACCACATGTATGTTTGCCTGGTGCCCATGCAGGTCAGAAGTGTCAGATCTCATGGAACTGGAGTTACAGAACTCACTACGAAGATCATACTGGCTGGAATTTGTGACAATTCTCTTGCTCTGTCTCCAAAGAGCGAAGAATACACGTGTCTGCCAGCATAGCTGGTTACAGTAAACAAACATAAACTAAGAAAGCGATACAAAATGGTTTAAAAAAAATCACAAGAAAACTAATCATTTCAATTACAGCTAAATTCTGGAGTTAAAACATGCCATCCTAGAGTCATTTGCACAGTCCTGTCTCCTGAAGCATTATTCCAATAGCTGACAGATGGACTCAATCTCAGCAGCAATCAACAGACAAAAAATAATGCGGTACACGTACACAATAGATTACGAGATAGCTCTTATAAGCGAGGAAGTACTACCATTTGTGGTAACATGGATGAACCTACAGAGTCTAGGTCACATGAAACAAGCCAGGTTCAACTAAATAAATACTGCATGAGATCATGTGACCACATGGAAGGTACAAAAACTGATCTCATAGGAGACTAGAATGGGAGTAGACAGAAGTTGGGTGGGGGAAAGCGGGACAGATATTTCTCAAAAGATAAATTTCTAGTATTGTAAAAAGTAAGTACGGTGAGTGGGTATAGTAAATAATATATTCTTCAAATTACAAAAAGACTCAAACTGTTGCCATCACAAAAAAAGCAGAGTAACAATGTGAGGTGATGCATATGTGAACCAGCACCATGTAGGTATTCCATAATGCATGCATATTGCAAAATACCATGTGATATATACATTTTTTTAATTAAAATGAACACAACAGGAAAGTGAGAAATTGAAAAGATGGTGAGGACTTCCTATAACCAACATTGCCTATAAATTTTACAACTTAGATGGAAGAAATACATTCCCATGGAGACATAGAAAACCAGAATATGACACCAAGAAGCTAACTCTGGGCTGGCAAGATGGCTCAGCGGGTAAAGGCTTTCACCATACAAGCAGATGGACTTAAATTCAAACCCTGAAATCATGTAGAGGATGAAGGAGAAAACCATTTTTCCAAAGTTGTCTTCTGACCTATCCACTGGCACATAAATAATACACACACACGCACACACACACACACACACACACACACACACACACACACGTTTTTGTGAGACAGGGAGACAGGGAGACAGGGTTTCTCTGTGTAGCCCTGGCTATCCTAAGACTTGCTCTGTAGACCAGACTGGCCTTGAACTCACAAAGATTCACGTGTCTCTACCTCTCAAGTTCTGGGATTAAAGGTGTGACCACCACCACCTGGTACATAAAATATTTTTAAGAAGTATAAATGACCTAAATAAATGTGATATAAAATAATATAAAAAATTTACACTTCTTTAAATAGCAAAACAAAACAAAAACAAAAACAACATGCAGTTGCTTAATTGATTGAAATACTTTTTTAAGTAATGTCAGTTCATTCTTTTTAACTTTTATTATTATTATTTTATACGTATAGACATTTGCCTGCACATACAGCTGCACAGCACTAGCATGCCTGGTACCTGTGGCGGTCAGAAGAGTGTGTTGGATTCCCCTGAACTAGAGTTACAGGCAGTCTTGAACTATAATGTGGGTGCTGGGAATTGAACCCAGGCACCCTGGAAGAGCAGCCAGTGCTCTTAATTGCTCAGCTACTGCAGATAGGGAAAGCCTCACCTCATCCTATGGTGGACAACATAAACATCTCTCGTAACTGGAAGTTCCTTATTTACCAGTGACTAGATGGAGTTGATAAAAGTACTTGAACCACACACAGCTCTGTAAAGAGCCAGTGCCATAAATGCCCACAAATTCAACAGATCTCCTCCCCAGCATTTATCTTTTGTGCTGCACTTGATAAACTAATAAAAATAGAATTCCACTCCTTGCCATCCATACATGCAATGATTCCCCAGTCTCTGAAACTGGTACAGGACAGAGTTCAGGGAGGGCCCAGAGAGCCCTACTGTCCCCACCAGGAAGGTCACAGCAGCTCAGAGGGAGGGAAATGGCTTCCAGGTCCTGACTGTCAGATGCTGGGACCTCCTGCAGTCTTACCTGCAGCATTTCCATGGTTGAGCACTGCAAGTGACGCTCCACATCTGAGATGAGGTCTCCTAGCAACTTGCTCTGCTGGGCATGCTTATTTTCAGACTCTGCTAGGCTGTTCATAATGGCTTCCTTCTCTTGCATCAGCTTCTGCACCTCATTCTTCTCCTCAGAGTCCAGGATGTCTCCCAGTCTTCTAAACTCCATCTGAACATTTTCTACATCTTTCTGTATTTGATTCTTCAGAGATAAGAAACGGGAGAATTAAGCCAGGTGGTGGTGGTGCATGCCTTTCATTCCAGCATTCAGGAGGCAGAGGCAGGCGGATCTCTGTGAGTTGGAGGCCTACAGAGTGAGTTCCAGGACAGCCAAGGCTACACAGAGAAACTCTGTCTCAAAAAAACAAAACAAAAAAAGAAGAAAAGAAAAAAAGAAGAAGAAGAAAGAAATGGGAGAATTATTCAGTCTGTCAAAATGTGCTATGTGGGAATTTTTTTGTTGTTATTTTATTTTTTTGTTTGTTTGTTTTCCTAGACAGGGCTTCTCTGTATAGTCCAGGATGTCCAGGAACTCACTGTGTAGACCAGGCTGAGATCCAAACTCAGAGATCCATCTGCCTCTGCCTTCTGAGTACTTGGATTAAAGGCGTAAGCCACCACCTCCAGGTTTTGTGGGGGAGTTTTTATGAGGAATGGAGATTCAGAAAAGGAAGGGAGTCTTAGGGAAGCATGTATAACCTTTTAGTGTCTGTTAATTATTCCAACACCAAGACCTCAGGTCATCTTTACCAAGACCACCTAAACCAAAATGATACACCAGGCTATGATTCAGCTTTCACACAGCTGTCCGAGATGCTCGTTCCTGCCTGTAATAATCCTCATTCCACTTTTTAAAAAGACTTTAGGGTTGGAGAGACAGCTCAGTGGTTAAGAGCACTGGCTGCTCTTCTGGAGGACCAGGGCTCAATTCCTAGCAACCACACATTGATTCACAACCACCTATAAATGTAGTTCTAAGAGATTTGATGCCCTCTTCTGACCTCCATGCTGGCAAACACTCATACACATCAAATAAAAATAAATAAATCTTTAAAAAAAATTTAAAAAAATACTTTAAAAATGCATTTATTTTTATTTATATATTTATTGATTTATTTTATTTATGTGTGTGTTGCCTGCCTGCATCATATGTGTGCCAAGTGCCCACAAGAAGCCAGAAGAGAGGATTGGATGTCTTCAGAACTAGTTATGGATGCTTATGATCTACCATGTGGGTGTAGGGAACCAAATTCAGGTCCTCTGGAAGAGCAAAAAGTACTCTTAACCACTGAGCCATTGTTCCACCCATCCTTGGTTTCTTATTTTGTTTCTTTGTTTAAATGGGGAGAGAGGGATTCTCACCCTATAGTCCTAGTTGCCTTGGAACTTTTGATGTACACTAGACTGGCCTTGAACTCAGAGATCTGTCTCCCTCTGCCTCCCAAATGCTAGGATTAAAGGCATGTGCCACCACACCTGCATCTCGTTCTGCTCTTTAACTTCCTGCAGAAGCTGAACGCTGAGTACATATTCATGATCCACCCATTCCCAAGCATCTTCCCCAACAGTCATAGCTGCAGATAGCACCAGAGGAGTGAGATCCAGGACTCAGTGCCCACTCTCTCCAGACCCCCTCCATGGTGTCAGCTCCCCAAATAGCCAGGCTCAGTTGTGATGCACTCAGTGTGCAGCCCCAGCTCCAAGGGAACAAGTAGAGAGGACTAATCAAGGCCTCTTGTCCTCATCAACTACCAGGGAATGGAGACCCAGGGAGCTTCTTGCCCAGGTCCCTCCCAGGCATCAGCCGAACTCTTTAGGAAGCATCCCCACTTGCCTCCCAGAAAGTTCTCTCCTTTTGAAGGTCATCTTTCCAGTTCTCCAATTCTTTCTTGTCTGCCATCAGCTTTTGCAAAGCTGCCTGGAGCTTCCCCTGTGGGAGAGGAATTGCAGCAGAGTCAAGCTGTGTGCTTAGTAGGACTGCTGTTCCTAACAAAAGACCAAGAAACCCCTCTGGAAAGAAAGGAAGCCTAAGACTGCTACGGTTCTTTAAAAGAATGTGATAAGAATGATGTACATAACACATACATACATACATACATACATACATACATACATACATATATTGTTTTATTTTTGGTCGGTTTTTGTTTTGTTTTTTGTTTTTTCGAGACAGAATTTCTCTGTGGAACAGCCCTGGCTGTCCTGGAACTTGCTTTGTAGACCAGGCTGGCCTCTGTAGACCAGGCTGGCCTCGAACTCACTGACTGCCTCTGCCTCCAGAGTGCTGGGATTAAGGTGTGCGCCACCACCGCCCAGCTACACATATGGTTTTTATCTATTATGAACAAATAGATAGTAAACACTAAAAAGAAGGCAAACAGGGACAAAATCAAGTTGGTCTCAGCAGAGTTTACAGAAACAGAGAGAATGGCAACTAAAATCTAGGAGTTGGAAAACAGGAATAAGGTCACCATCAACTCAGAAAGGTTCCCTATCCTCTCAATTTCTTTTAAAAAGGTGGTCTCAAGCCAGGCATGGTGGTAAATGCCTTTAATAACAGCACTCAGGAGGCAGAGGCAGGCGGATCCCTGGGTTTAAGACCAGCCTGATCTACAGAGCAAGTTCCAGGACAGCCAGGGCTGCACAGAGAAAAACAAGCAAGCAAATAAACTAATAATACGGTGGTCTCATTATGTAAAGAATTCTTGTTCCTCTTGCCTCAGAAATGTTGAGGTTATAGGCATCTGCTATCATACCTGGTTAAACTGATTTTTTTTTACACTAATATGTAAAAAAAAGAGGAAGCTGATAGCAAGGAAAGAGGAAATTCGGTGTAACGACTCACCTCATTTAGTCTTTTTAATTAACTAATTAATTGATTTTGCATGTGAGTGCACCTGTGTGTGTGTGTGCTTGTGTATACCCACACTCATGTCACCCCAGGTATATAGAGGTCAGAGGACAACTTGCAGGAATCAGTTATGGCCTTGAGTTATGTGGTTTCTGGGTTCAAACTCAGGTCATTATGCTCAGCAACAAGCTATTCAGCCATCTCTCCAAACCTCATCTCATTTACTGTGATAGCTAAAGAATAATCAGAGCTTTTCTTGGACATAAAATCCCAACAGTATATAACAAGCTGTAAAAACATTTGCTCTAGTTCTAGAGTTTGAGCCCAGGTAGATTCTCTTATGATTAAGCTCAGTGGATAGTCCTATTCTTTCAGGCCTCAGAAGGCAACAGGATGGAGGAAATCCCAGGCCTCTATTCCATGATGATCAAGTAACCGAAGGGTTCCAAGAAGTAGAGATTTCACGGCAGGTACTGTTTCTTACTCTGTTTCCCACACCCTCCCACTTCTTACCTTGTACTCTTGGGCCACCTCTTCGATAAGAACTGTTTGGTGACCACGGTGCTCCTGAGATCGCTCACAAAGCCAGCAGATGGCCACCTTGTCCTTCTCACAGAAGAGCTGGAGTTTCTCTCCATGCCTTGTACAATGAAACACCTTCTGCTCCTCCTCTGGGCTGGACTTGAACTCCTTGATCCTCTCCACTATATTGGCCAAATGTCGATTAGGCCTCAGATTCTCAAACAGGTAACTCACTCGGCACACAGGGCAGGTGAACTCTCCTTTAATAGACTCCCAGTTCAATGTGATGCAGGCTCGGCAGAAGCTGTGACCACAATCAGTACTCACAGGTTCCACCATGAGGTCCAGACAGACAGGACAGGTCACCTCCTCCTTTAAATTCACAATGAATTCTGAAGCCATAGTTGCTGTGATCCTGTGTCTGCCTGTCCTGACTTCTGACCCTGCTGCTCAGGTGCCTGCATGATTTAGAAGACAAAAAGGAGGCCAAGTAAGAAAGGGAGGAACAGAATGAACACTGTGCAGAGATCAAGGATGGGCCATGACCACAACAGTACAAGGCCAAGAAGCCAGGGGAGAGAAACAATACAAGCAACTAAGATAAACATGCAGAAGTAACATGCATCTAAATATTTCCTAATGTTTCATATCCTAAACTGAATTCTTAGAACAAGGGCCAAGGAAATAGTTCCAACATAGAGCACTGGCCTAGAATGCACAGGCCCAATCACTGCACAAACAAAATCAAAATAACAAATACTTAAAATCAGAAATAGCTGGGCGGTGTCTTGGAACCCTATGTCTTCAGAACTATCATTTGCCCCTGGAAATTCCCCCTGAGCCACTGAGATTGCCGTCTTCCCCCAGGAGCCACCATCTCTGTTCAGCATCCCACCTCCTGAGAGCAGAGGATTCTGCCACCCTATCTTCCACTGCATGGCACTGCCAACCACACTGTTCCAGATCTCTTGGGGTCAGAGCCACAACTGAGGTCCTCACTGCTGTTGTGCACTGTCCACTCCATAACGGGCTAGCACAGCCTTTCACTGCTTTTGTCCCCACTGCTGTAACAGATTATGTGAAACTTGGTAATTTATAAAGAATAGAGATTTATTTCTTACAGGTCTACGACAGAAGAAGTCTAAGACTGAAGGGCTCACCAGATAGGAGTCCTTCATTTTCTTGTTTTTGTTTACTTTTGTATATGCATTTTTTTTTTAAAGGACAGAATCTCACTATGTAGCCCTGTTGGCCTGGAACTCACTAAAGAGGCTGAACTGGCTTCAAACACTCAGCTGCTGAGATCATCTTGCTGTATCACTTCATGATGTGAAGTTGAAAGGAAAGAGGAGATGTGTGCAACCAAGGGTATTTGAAGTGAGGATGCCAAACTCATGCTTTCACCAGGAATCAAACCCATACAGGAGTGGTTATTCCTACAACAGTCACAACAGTCCTCTCAGGAAGGCTAGACGCCTCAACTTTTAATTTTGAGGACTAAATTTACTATCAATTTTAGTGGGCAGAGTCAAAAAACATAATGTGTACCATTCTGAGCTCCCCCCGCCTCCCCGTGAAGTCCAAGCTGCCAACATGCCCTGCTACCCAAGGCTGAGCCTCTAGAGATCTTTTTCTTTCTTTCTTATTTTATTTTTCTTTTATTTTTTTAATTGAAAATAGATTCTTCTCTCATACAATACACCCAGACCACAGTTTCCCTTCTGTGAACTCCTGCCAGCTCCCTCCCACCTCCCTTCTCCCTCAGATCCTCTTCCCCTCTGTTTGCTCTTCAGAAAAGAACAGGTCTTCAAGAGATAACAGCCAAACACAACAAAACAAGAATAATAAGACAATGCAAAAGCCCTCATATTGAAGCTGGACAAGGCAACTCAATAGGAGAAAAAGAGTCTCAAGAGCAAGCAAAAGAGTCAGAGATACACCATTGTTAGGAGTCCCACAAAAACACCAAGCTAACAGCCATAACATACATGCACAGGACCTGGTGCAGACCCGTACAGGCCCCATACAGGCTTCAGTCTCCATGAGTCTATATGGGTCCTGCTTAGTTGATTCTGTAGGCCATGTTCTCCTACTGTCTTTAACCTCCCTGACTCCTACAACCTTTTCTCTCCTTCTACTCAAGAGTTCCCTGATCTCTGAAGGGAGGGACCTGATGCAGACCTGATTTAGACTCTCTTTCCGCATAATGTCTGGCTGTGCGTCTCTGCACTTGTACCCATCTGTTGATAGAGGAAGCCTCTCTGATGACAAATGAACAGGCATTGATCCAAGGTCTTTAGCTGTCCAGTCTCCAGTCCCCCGGCCATCCTGGCAGTGTAGGCCAGTGCTCCCTATCATGTTTGGGCCTCAAGTTAAATCAGACTTTGGTTGGCCACTCCCACAAGTTCTATGTTGTTGTTTGTTTCTTGCTCTTTTGGGGGGGCCTGCCACCCAGCTCCCAAATAAATCACACACAGAGGCTTATTCTTACTTATAAATGCCTGGCCTTAGCTTAGCTTGTTTCTAGCCAGCTTTTCTTAACTTAAATGATCCCATCTACCCTTTGCCTTTGGGCTTTCCCCACTCTCTTACTTCTGTAAATCTTCCTCTTACTCTGTGGCTTGCTGTTTAGCTGGGTGGCGGGGTTGCTGGGCCCTGAAATCCTCCTCCTTCTCCCAGATTTCTCCTTCTATATATTCTTTCTGCCTGCCAGCCCCACCTATTCCTCTCTCCTGACTATTAACCGTTCAACTCTTTATTAGACCATCGGGTGTTTTAGACAGGCACAGTAACACAGCTTCACCGAGTTAAACAAATGCAACATAAACAAAAGTAACACACCTTAAAGTAATATTCTACAACAGTTCTACACCACCATTGCCCCAGCACATCTTTCAGAAAGAACAGATTGTAGGTTGAGGGTTTTGTGGCTGGGTTGGTATCCAGGTTTCTCTTTCCTGCAGAGTACCTTTTCGTGCTTAAGAGAACAGAACATAGGGGTAGAGGCTCTATGTAGGAACCAGCTCACCCTCTCTACATTCAAAGAGCTGTGTCGATGTTGTCCTCCTTAATGGGGCCCTGCTGCCCATTTGTGGAGAGCGACCCTCTGTCCTAGCATCATCCTATGTTATTTAGGGATCTCCACAGGACCCTCTTGGCCAACAAGAACTGAATGCAATCCAGTCCACGAGGGGAAGCCTTGTCTGGCTACAAAAGTTGGCCAGTTCAGGTTCTGTACCCTCCAATACTGTGAGTCCTCACTAGGGTCACCCTCATAGAGTCCAGGAAGTTTCTACTGCATTAGGTTTCACATCAATTCTAGCTGACTCTTCCTCCCACAACATGTTCCCTCCCACTCCTGCCCTCAGTCCACCTGCAAAAATCTATTTCATATTCCCTTGCCAGGGAAATCCATGCTTCCCTCTAGAGCCCTCCTCTTTACCTACCTGCTGTGGGATGTTCTGTATGGCAAATGTGTTGCTAATTAGTCAATAAACAAAACACTGATTGGCCATTGGCTAGGCAGGAAGTGTAGGCGGGACAAGGAGGAGAATAAAGCTGGGAAGTGGAAGGCTGAGTCAGAGAGACACACTGCCAGCTGCCATGATGAGAAACAGCATGTGAAGATGCTGGTAAGCCACGAGCCATGTGGCAAGGTATAGATTAATGGAAATGGATTAATTTAAGCTGTAAGAACAGGTAGCAAGAAGCCTGCCACGGCCATACAGTTTGTAAGCAATATAAGTCTCTGTGTTTACTTGGTTGGGTCTGAGAGGCTGTGGGACTGGCAGGTGATAGAGATTTGTCCTGACTGTGGGCCAGGCAGGAAAAGTCCAGCTACACCTACCCTCTCTGGGTCTGTGCATTGTAGTTTGATTATCATTTACTTAACAGTTAATATCTACTTATAAGTGAATACACACCATATTTTGGCTTTCTGGGACCTTACTTGGGATGATTTTTTTTCAGTTCAATCCATTTGTCTGAAAATTTCACATTATTTTTTTAACAGCTGCATAATACTACATTTTGTAAGTGTACCACATTTTCTTTATCCATTCTTCTGTTGAACAACATCTAGGTTGTTTCCAGTTCCTGGCTATTATGAATAAAGCCTCAATGAGGTAGGATGAAGTGTTCTTTGGGTATATGCCCAAGAGTGGTATAGCTGAGTCTTGAGGTAGATCAATTCACAACTTTCTGACGAACTGCCATATTGATTTCCATAGTGGCTAAAAGTTTGTACTCCCACTGGCAGTGGTGCAAGGTTCTCCTTGCTCCACATTCTTACCAGCATGAGCTGTCAACTTGTGGTTTTCTTTCTAGCCATTCTGACAGGTGTAAGATGGAATCTCAAAGTAGTTTTTGTTTGCATTTCCCTGATGGCTAAGGATGTTGAACATTTCTTTAAGTTTCTCAGCCATTTGGGATTCCTCTGTTGAGAATTCTGTTTAGATCTGTACCACATTTTCTAATTGGATTATTTGGGATTTTGATACCTAATATCTTGAGTTCTTTATATATTTTGGGTATTAGACTATGGTGATATTTTATTTGTCCTGAAATGTGATTTTATTGGTATGTTAATAAATATAGTTGCCTGGAGGTTCAGAGCTAATAGCAAGCCATAGTAGAAGTCTGGCAGTGGTAGCACACGCCCTTAATCCGATCACATGGCAGGCAGAGTCTGTGTGTTCAAGGATACAGCCAGCATGGAGACACAAGCCTTTAATCTCAATACCAACCACAGAAGACCTGGAGGTCTGTATAGACAGGCAGTGACGAGGAGGTCATGTGGTTGGGTTTACAACCAATTAGAAGGCAGAACAGAAAGTCAATAAAAAGACAGATACACAGGAAGTAGGTCTCTTTTGGAGGAGAAGGACGGCAGCGGCAGCAGCGAGGGGTAAGAAAGGGTTTTAGTCTCAGCTCTTAGCTACTGCTCTGACCTCTTGTGCTTTTAACTCAGCATTTGGCTCTGTGTTTCTTATTTAATAAGACTGTTACATCTACATTAGACTGGTATCAGATGTGGAGTTGGTAAAAATCTTTCCCCACTCTGTAGGCTACTGCTTTTATTGTCAGTGTCCTTTGCCCCACAAAAGCTTTTATTTATTGACAGTGTCCTTTGCCCTACAAAAGCTTTTCAGTTTCCTGAGGTCCTATTTGTTAATTGTTTATCTTAGTGCCTGTGCGATCAGTGTTCTATTCAGAAAGTTGTCTCCTGGGCCAATGCATTCAAAGCTATGCCCCACTTTCTCTTCTATCAGGTTCAGTGTTTCTGTTTTTTTGTTTTTTGGGTTTTTTTGTTTTTTTTTTTCGAGACAGGGTTTCTTTGTGTAGCTTTGTGCCTTTCCTGGAACTCGCTTTGTAGACCAGGCCAGCCTCTGCCTCCTGAGTGCTGGGATTAAAGGCATGTGCCACCACCGCCCGGCTGTGTTTCTGGTTTTATGTTGAGGTCTTTGATCCATTTGGATTTAAGTTTTGTGCACGGTGATAGATATGGGTCTATTTGCATTCTTCTACAGGCAGCTATTCAGTTAGATTAGCACCATTTGTTGAAGATGCTTTCTTTTTTTCCATTGTATATTTCTGGCTTTTTTTTTTTTAATCAAAAACTAGGTATCCATAGGTATGTGGATTTATGTCTGGGTCTTCAATTCAATTCCATTATTCAACATGTCTATTTTTATGCCAATACCATGTGGTTTTTATTGCCATAGCTCTGTAGTACAACTTGAAATCAGGGATGGTGATACCTCCAGCAGTTCTTCTATTGTTTGGGATTTGTTTTTCCAGATGGAGTTGAGAATTGTCCTTTCAAAGTCTGTAAGAGTTGTGTTGAAATTTTCATAGGAATTGGTTGAATCTGTAGATTGGTAAGATTGCCATTTTTTACTATGTTGATCCTACAGATCCATAAGCATGGGAGATCTTTCCATCTTCTGATACCTTCTTCAATTTCTTCAAAGACTTGAAGTTTTTATCATACAAGTCTTCCACTTGCTTGTTAGAGTTACCCCAAGATATTTTATATTATATGAAGCTATTGTAAAGAGTATTGTTACCCTGATTTCTTTCTTAGTCTGTCTGGCATTTTGTATAGAGCTCTTTTTCATTCCTGAATCTATGATGGTGCTCTGCCCTGTCCTGCTACAGAGTCAGAGCCATAGGTAGCTACATTCCTTCTCCTTGGACTTGAATTGTTATGGTGGGCCTGAGGGTCCCAGGTCATGCTTTGTAGTAATCTCCATCTGTGGCGGTTTGAAAGAAAACGGCCCCCAAAGGGAGTGGCACTATTAGGAGGTATGACTTTGTAGGAGTACGTGTGGCCTTGTTGGAGGAAGTATGTCACTGTCGGGGTGGGCTTTGAGGTCTCCTATGCTCAAGCTATGCTCAGTGCAGTAGACGGTTTACTTCCTATTGCCTGAGGATCAAGATGTAGAACCCTCAGCTCCTCCTCCAGCACCATGTTTGCCTGCATACCACCATGCTTCCCACCATGATGATAATGGACTAAACCTCTGAAATTGTAAGCTAACCCCAATGTTTTCCTATATAAGAGTTGCCAGGTCATGGTGTCTTTTCACAGCAATAGAAACCCTAATGAAGACACTATATCAGCATTTTTTTGTTTGTTTTTTTGCTTTTTCTTTTTTTGTTTTTCGAGACAGGGTTTCTCTGTGTAGTTTTGGTGCCTGTCCTGGATCTCACTCTGTAGACCAGGCTGGCCTCAAACTGAAAGAGATCCACCTGGTTCTGCCTCCCGAATGCTGGGATTAAAGGCATGCGCCACCACCACCCGGCCTATCAGCATTTTGGTGGTGATAAACTTAAGAAGCAGCTTCCATATGCGACAGTGGTTCATTTCACACACCCCTGACCCCACAGACACTCTGAGCACATACCTAAGAGAGGCTACCATTGGTCTTCATACTTTGGAAAAGGAAAATATCAAATCCCCTACAATCCTTCCTACTGAGGATGCTAACCAGCTGCATGGTTACTGCTGCTGTCATAAATGCCTGACAATCAGGCCATGGAGACATTTTCAGACTTGTCAAGCACTGAGCCCTGCTGACAGAACTGTATGAAGACTGTACCACTGTACCCACTTAGGATCCAAGCCACCACACCTAATCAAATGCCACCCTCATAAGGAATGTGTAAGTCATTCCTAATAGAATCTAACTGGAAAAGTCTAGAAGAGTTAGTTGCTCCATAATATGCAGGCATTAACACAGGGACACACACACACACACAAACACACATACACACAACACAAAGAAAAAATAACAACAAAAAACAAAACCAAAAAACATCAAAAAGTGAGCAACATCACTATCAAAGGACTATTATCATATTCTAATAACTGACTTCAAAGAATACAAATCATGAATAATTCAGATAAAAATTCAAAATAACAATGAGAAAAACCAGAAAATCAATAATTCAATAGAAAAGAACACTGAAATTCTAGAGCTTAATAATTCAATGAATGAAACTGACCCTAAAATAGACAGATTTAACAGCAGACACACAGGATCAAACAAAAAGTCTATCAACTTAAAGTCAGTTCACTTGAAAGTATCATGTCAAAACAAATAAAAAACCAGTAAGACAAAGAAGAAAAACTACCCTACAAACAAATAAATGTGGAATCCATTTGTGTTGATCAACTAACTACTCCTGTGCCTGGGGCTTGCCTTGGAGTGTCACTGATATACCCAGTGACCATTGGAGAAAACTAATTTTAAGTTTTTAAGGGAGGGGGCATGAAGTTGGGTGGGTAGAAAGGAGGGGGAAATCTGGAAGGAGTTGGGGAAGGGGAAAGGATATGATCAAAAATTTAAAAATATTTTTTTAGAAAAAAAAGATAAATAATCCCACCTCAAAGTATCATGTCAAAGACAGAGGTCATGGAGAGAACAAATATGTCAATTTATGGGGCACTGTTCGGAAAATCATTATGAATGCTCCACAAGAAGATGAAACAGAGAGGAGGCAGATAGCAAATCAGGAAGGGATTGGTTTTGAATTAACCCAGCCACCCACAGGACATTCTCACTAATGACAGCAGCACACACATGGGGACACTGTTCTGGAAGGCTAACCCCTGGGGCTCCAAGAGAGGTTCTAACAATGTAAGAAGACTGAAATGATATGAAATACCTTTTTTAACTGCAGTGGTATGAAACTAGAAATCACTAAAAGAGGGATTTAGGAAAAATTCACAAACACATGGAAATTACACAACTAAACTAAAGAGCAAAGAAGAAATCAAAGGGAGGTTTTTTAAAGAGAAATGCAATGACAACGGAAGCATACGTCTGTCTCAAGGCATTGCATTTGGCACTTGGGACGGTCTAAGAGGGACACTTACTGGGACAAAACTACATGCGATAAAGAAAAACTGACTCAAGGAAGTAACTTAATTCTTGGCCTCAGGTAAGTAGAAAAGGAAGCCAAAAGTTAGAGAATGCAAAAAAAAAACCCAAATACAACAACTAGTACAGAAAGACCCTAGGAAAATGTAATGAATCATATGAGTCTCTCTCTCTCTCTCTCACTCACTCACTCACTATGCAGTCCTGGATGTCCTGGAACTTCTATATAGATCAGGCTGGCTTAGAACTCACAAAGATCTTCTTGCCTCTGCCTTCCTATTACTGGGATTAATGGCGTGTGCCATCTGCCAGCCACTTTGAGTTGTCATTTTCAAAACAATACACAGTGAAGTAAACAAAACCAAAAACAACTACAAAAAAAAAAACCAGGAAAGTTTGTTGATGTCTTCTGGGTACCTAGATTAGCTTGGGTAAAGCTGTGATATCCTTGATCAAACTGATTTCTCTCATGGTTCTCATGACCTTTTATCATTAGACATTTTCCAAATCAATCGGGAATTTAATTTTCATTATTTCAAGGTAGAAAAGGGGGTGGCAGCAGTAATGTGCACCTGCCACTCCAGTGACTGGGAGGTAGGGAGGGGGGCTGACTGAGGAGCTGGAGACCAGCCTGAGCAACACAAAATGTATCATATCTCCAAGAAACATTAGAAAAGCTGTCACTTCTGGGAAAAATCTTCAGATGCACAACTGTAGCATTATCCTAGTCCTTCATTTTCCCATCTTCAGTCACGCTCTTCTCCCTACCTTGGAATCGAACCCAAAACCTGAGGAGCACCCTACCACTGAGCTAGGTCACAAACATTTTAAGATATATTTTATGAGGGGCTGGAGAGACAGCTCAGCAGTTAAGAGCACTGACTGCTCTTTCAGAGGTCCTGACTTCAATTCCCAGCAACTACATGGTGGTTCACAACCACCTGTAATGAGATCTGGTGCCCTCTTCTGGCCTGTAGGCATACATGCAGGCAGAACACTGTACACACAATAAATAAATAAATCTTAAAAAAACAAATTTTATGAATGAGTCTTATTGAGTTGCCCATAAAGGCCTTCAACTTCTGATCCTCTTGCCTTCTGTGTAGCTGGACTCTCAGGCTGAGTGGAGCACTACTTCATTTTTCAGGAAATGGCTGAAGGAGAAGGAACTAACAGCAGTCATTTCCTGACTTGGGGCATTCACACACGGTCAGTGAGTCAACAGGCCCACAGCCTCTATTACTAAACACAGAGAGAAGCCCTAGGAGTCCCTAGGGCAGTGGTTCTCAACATTCCTAAGGCTGTGACCCTTTAATACAGTTCCTCATGTTGGGGTGACCTCCGACCATAAACTAATATTTGTTTCTACTTCTAACTGTAATTTTGCTACTGTAATGAATCCTAATGTAAGCATCTGATATGCGACCCCGGTGAAAGGCTCACTCCACCCTACAGGGGTCGCGACTCACAGGTTGAGAACAACAGTTCTAGAGTATGCGGAAATGCCACATTATCACACAAAAACGCCTTGAAGAGCAGAGGCTCTGACTTAGCTTAGCTGTGGGGAAAGGGACTGTGTTAGAAAACAGAGTTCCAGATCTCTTGGACAAGGTACAATTCAAAATTATAGAATATGAAATGGCAGGAGGAGACTGGATCTGGCTAAAAGCCATCTTTAAATTAGTCCTTTTTTCCAGGCAGCCTCTTCCTCATGCTCCTTCATTTGCATTTTCAGCCAGAGGCCGGCAGCCCCTCCCTCTCCACCCGGTTTTTAGACGACAAACTCACCCAAGCAAAAGCAATGTTTTTCTTCAAAAGTCCTCCAAACTCTGCCCCCTAATATTGCTCAACCAACCATCAGACACCCGAAAGCTGTAAATCACGGAGAATTAACGCACCAATCCAGAACTTCAAAGTGTTTCCGACTGCAAGCTAGAGAAAAGAAAGTTTGAGCGCAGAAAAAGAAAGAGAAACTACGGAAGGACAGACCAATGACATGCCTCCGCATGAGCATGCCCGGCTCCACCGAATGAAGGCGTTGCCCTCAGATCAGCACTGGCTCTCTCTGGAGAGCGTGTACCCTCAACTCTCCCACCCTTAACTGCCTTTTTTAAGCTTCTCTGGAATTTCCAGTTCGGATTCACCTAACAAGATCCGGACCCTCTGGAAAGCTACCCCTGAGGGAAAGAAAGCCTTCCCTTGGGCTCCTCTGCATCCTGGCTGGGTTTTGCTTTGGGTGTCAGGTGTGGCCCCAGGGGAAGAAAAAACAAGGTGAAGGACAGAACTAGAGTGTTCCTCTGGAGTTGGACTTGGACTCTTACAGGATGAGAACAGAAAGGAAACTCAATTCGCAATCAAGATTTCCCACACAGCAGGGACAGGATGGGGAGGATTCCTGTGCAGAGCCATGCAGAAACACTTCCCCACACTCACAGCAGGTAAACGAGCAAGCTCCATAGGGAGCTGTCTGGCTGCCCCATTGTCTCCTTCAGATTATACATTGTGCTGCTGAACAGATAGAGTCCTTTTCAAAGTGCTGATCTGACCTACTCATTGCCTCCCCTCCAGGAGTCCCTCACCTTAATTGCCCAGGCAGTCCCCATTTGACATCATATTTGGATTAAGACCTGTGATAATGCTTCACTCCCCCTGAATTAGAAGTTGAAAATGTGTAGAGCTCTGAATGAGGTTCAGTTGGCATGGAGGGTGCCCAGCAAGCCTGGAGCCCTGGGGTGGATCCTCAGCTCTGTACAAGCCCAGGTGTGGAGATACATGCATGTAGTCTGTCTTAGTTACTCTACTGTTGCTATGAAAAACACCATGACTGAGGCACCATACAAGAACAGTGTTTGATTTGGGGCTTACAGTTTCAAAGGGTCAGAGGTCATGACCACCACAGTGGGTAGTATGGGAGCAGGCAGAGAGGCATGGTGCTGGTACAGGAGGTCACAGGTCACACTTGAGACACAAACCTGAGGCAAAGATAGAGACACTGGGAATGCCCAGAGTGTATTGAAATCTCAAAGCTCACACTCAGGCCACATATACTCCAATAATGCCACACCTCCTAATCCGTCCCAAACAGTCTCAGCAACTGGGAACCAAGCATTCAAAGATCTGAGCCTATGGAGGCCATTCCCATTTAAACCACCACAGGACACATTGCCGTGGAGCTGGTGTCAGGAGGAACAGGATCTCAAACGTCATCCTCAGCAATAGATATTTACAACATATTGAGTAGACTTGATTACAGATTCCAGGATCTAAGAGCAAAGCATCATCAAAAAGTCAAATTTTATTTCTCCCAGCGACCCACTTTTACATAGAAAACCAGACTAAGGATATCTCCCCAGTAATGAACAGAACCATTATCTACTGAGTGTACAGTGAGTGCCTTATATGCATTGACCTTTGTCTTTTTAAAAACTACATAACTCATTTTACATTTGTGTGTCTAGGCCTGGGTGTACTGCAGCATGTGTGTGGAGGTTGAGAATAATCTGGAGGATTGGCTGCCTCCTTCTCCCAGGTGGTGTAAGGGATTGAACATGGGTCACTGGGCTTGGAGGAAAATGTTTTTAACCTCAGAGCCTTGTAACAGATTTCAAATTTATTTTCTTACATTGACCTACAGGATATGTACACTCTGTATAATAAAACTGTAAAAAACAACAAACAATAAAAACCAACCAAAAAAAAAACCCCACAAAATCAAAATGAAAACAAAAACCCCATAAAGAATAGACTTTTGAGGATGTTATTACACTGCTGTGTGGAGTGGCAGGAATAGAACCCTGGTACTCTGAACACACAGTCTTAGTGGGAACTATTGCAGATGTTTCCTTCTTAAGTTTGGATGAGGCACAAGCATTGTGGTTAACCCAACATACCACTAAGGGCTCATTCCTAGGCTAGAAACTCCTGCATATAGTTTTCAAAACTAGTAGACAAGCTGGAGAAGAACTTTCTTTCATCCGTTGTCGGGGCAGAAGGAGTGGGCTTGTGCAGACATGGCAGAGCTGGGACGAGTGGCTCAGTGGTAGAGCACCTCCTCAGCATGCACAAGGCCCTGCCTTCCCTCTGTGGCACCACAAAACAGGAAGTGGGGTTAGCAGAGGCTTCACCTCACCTAATGAGGCAAGAGTCACTTTCTTTGGGAATAATAATAAAATGATTAATTATTTTAATCATTTCTTAAGAGTTCTGGGGAGGAGAATCGGGGGAGTGAGTTGTTTGACTGTACAAGTGAGGAGGATCTCTGCTTGTGAGGAGTAAGGCTTTCCCAACATCCCACAGCAAGTAAGTGGGAGGGCTCATGAGGGTGTCTCATGATGAATTATTGCCTTGTAACCAGACAAGCAACTGGATCAAGGAAAAGAATCCATGTTGGTTTGTATTGAGAACTGAAGTTTATTAAAAGGAAAGAGCAAAAGCAGAAACAGTTATAATGATGCCAGGGAGCTCAGGCATATGAGATACATCAGACATGGGGCACTGTGCAGTTATGGGTGAGGGTTTAGGAGGGTGGGCCACATACTGTCATTGGCTCTGAACATGACATAGGATTAAAGTATGGATAAACTTCATCAGGGAAGGAAGGTTCATAGAATCTATAGATGAGAGCTCCATGGTTGGAAACATCAAAAAATGAGAGAGTACAAGCTTCTCTGTCCAGGAAAACTCCAACACGACGGGGACGGCCAGTCAGAGAGAGGACCAGGACACTGGCATTGCGGGTGACAGAACACTCTGCAAAGGCATTATATACAGACCCGTTCTTCATCCCTATAACCCAGTAGCCATGTTTAGGCTGATAATTTACATGCTGTTTCACATCAGAATTATCTTTAACTGCATATGTAGGCTGATAATCATGTTTAAAATTAAAATCAAAGTAGCTTTGAGAGCCAAAGGTAAATGTAGGCCGATGAAGTACATGTTGTTTAACATTAAAATTATATTGGACTTTGATGCCCTTCTCATTCCCTGCAGGAGGTTGGGGTTGAGCACATTTTCCATCATTTAACCCCAGGAGCCAGGCATCATTTCTAGACACATCCACTTCCCAGTAATGTTTCCCTGAGTGGAAAGCTGGGTATCCCAGGACACCCAAATCATAGGTCTCAGAAATTTGCAAATTTCTTCTAGAATCATTTCGATGTTGTATTTGTCGTTTGTCCTCATTAACAGCAATGTTTTCATTGTGGACTTGATTCAGGGTCACATGAACTGCAGAAAAAGGAGACATATAAGAGTCACATGAGAGGCAATGTATAGCCTTTTTTGTGATGTAAGGAGCAGAAGCCTAAGGAGACAGTGAGAGGGAACTTGGAGGAGCCTTGTATATAGTCAGGAAGAAGCAGATTGGGAGAAGTAACATGACACATGAGGGTTAGGAGAGAAATAAACTCTGAAATACAGTAAGAAGGGAGTGGCTGATGGTGTGATTTCTCCTTACCCCAGTGTTGTTGGGCATCCATGAGCCCTGAAAGGATGAAAATTTATTTAAATGGAGGCAAAAGAATCAAAACATTAAAGTCAATCTCCTCTCCAGATTAGGGGAAGGTTTGGAAATTATGATATAATATGGGATGAAAGACGATTTTCCATTAAATATAATGACATCACTGGAAAACACGATCTATTCTTCTGAGTCCCTCAACCCATGTTCAGAAACATCACTCTCTTCCCAGAGAGTGTAGCCCCAGCCACCCCAGAATCCCTCAGTTACCCACAGAATGTAGCTGTTCTCACCTTGAAACGCTTGCAGCATGCCTTTCAGATCTGGAGCTCGGAAGAGCCTTCTTTGCTTTCTTGGGATCATTTCGGGTTGTTGTAATATTAAGGTCTGACTCCTAGGGACAAAACATTGACCTCCACATCTCAGACAGTGTGACCTTTGACTACTACTGACTCCCTGTCATTCTAACCATAGATGTCCTGGAGCTCTCCTGAGAATTCTGAGAAGGGGAGAGATGGTTGACTACTAACTCTGGAGACCTGAGAGACACCCTCATGAGCCCTCCCACTTACTTGCTGTGGGATGTTGGGAAAGCCTTACTCCTCACAAGCAGAGATCCTCCTCACTTGTACAGTAAAACAACTCACTCCCCAGATTCTCTTCCCCAGAACTCTTAAGAAATGATGAATTAGTGAACTTTAAAACAACCCAAACTAAGGTTTCTAAAAAATAATGTGTGGGCCAGACATGGTGTCACATGCCTTTAATCCCTGAACATAGGAGCCAGAGTCAGAAGGATCACTGAGATCAAGGCCAGTCTGCTCTATAGGGTGAGATCCAAGACAGCCAGAGCTACACAGAGTAATACTATCTCAAAAACAAAAACAAACAAACAAACAAACAAAAACAAATCAAACAAAAAGAAAAAGAAAAAAGAAGAAAAGAGAAAGAAAGGAGGAAAAATCATGTGGGTATGTGTGTTTTCAAGGACATAGTCTAAAGTCTGAGTGCAGAAGATCTCTTGGGTATAGCACGTGGGAAAGCCACAGGAGACAGCTAAGACTTCAAACCTGGCTTTCAATATGGACACTCTCGGCCAGCATCGTGATTCTTCTGATTCTTCAAATTCTTTTGTTTTAATGACAAAGTTGGCAAAGAAGACAGTACCATCAAATTAATAATTACATGAGCTCATTATGTTCAGAACAGCCTGATGCTGACAGCCTGGGAGTGACGCTTTACAGACAAGGGTACTACTTTCCAAGGTCTTCTAAAGTATGTGGTCCACATGGAGCAGGTGTCTCACCTGTGCCAAATATTGTGCTCAGAGACTCAAGTCTGTTTTTGGAAAAATCTAATTATAACCACAAAGGAACTCTGGATCTCTTCTATCCTCATGACAAACACACAAATACACAGGAAGTTCCCCCAATATACAAGTCTGTGAACATTGAGGACATAGAAGACATGCCCTACCTATGATGAATTGAGGAATCAAGTACTTGTTAATGCAGGTCCAGAGCCAGACACACGCACACAGTATGGACAGAATGACGGAACCACAAGGAGTCTGAAAGCACCTTAGCTCCTTGTGCCTCATCCCACTGCTGAGCCTGACTCTGCAACTCCCCATCACCCACTCCCTAAAAGACAATCAAATCTGTTCTCAACTGTTCACAACAGTCAGATCCTGACTTTCCCCACTTCCCCTTCCTCCTTTTTACCAGATGTTTAGAATAGTATTATGTTTAAATTCCCCCAAACCCATGACATATTTATTTTAGTTGAATATTAAATCACTTTTACGACCCAATAGGGCTATTTTTCTCTATCCGTCAGACATACCTTTTAAGGACAGAATTCACACCCTAGGGAGAAGGGAGAAAACACAGTGAATTACATGATCTGCATGTCCTTGCAAATCCTGCTCACACTCTCACTGGCTGCAGAGACAAAGTCAAAACAGAATCAAGCCAGTCACCACACTTCTCCATGACATGATACAATTATGATGCATGGCTCTTTACTTGATTTACATGTAAACTAGTGGACTATTTTCTGTCTCATACTATAAGGATTTGGAGACAGAAGACAAACAAACAATGCTTTGAAAGCTTATGTAGGTTTTGCTGTGCCTATACCTAAAAACATAAACATATAACTCTTCATGCTGCATGTAAGCTATCCAGTACTGTACTTGCAACTAACATTATGAGAAGATGATTTCTAAATTATTTTAGTCATTCAGATACAATTTAACATATTAGTAATGAAAAAGCCACAAGGACCAGAAGCTGAAATTGTCTGATACTTAAAATCAACTAACCATATCTGTCTGTCTCTTTTCCTCTCTCTGTAACTGTGTTGGCAGGAGAAGAAGTGAATCTGTGTCTCTCAATTTGACAAACTGTTGAAACATTGACCCGAAAGAAATGGAATTTTTTCAGGAATCTCACACTGGGGGAAGGAAAACAGCTCTAGCCATGGGGCTAGTGGTCTCCTAAAAAGATTTCAAGCACTTTTAATTACTTGTCAGACCACCTTAGCATATGAGACTGTAACCCAAATAATGATAGGAGAATGATTGTCAGGACCACACCTTGACCTGTACTACTCTCGTGCGTATATCCTTGACTCTCAACTTAAATATTGAACTCACTTAGGGAAACTGAAGATGGGTAGAGGGTTTTATTATTTTTTTCCTTTGTTTTTTTCAAGACAGAGTTTCTCTGTGTAGCCTTGGAGCCTCTCCTAGAACTTACTCTGTAGACCAGGCTGGCCTCGAACTCACAGAGATCTCTCTGCTGAGTGCTGGGATAAAAGGTGTGCACCACCACCACCCAGCACAGGTGTTTTGTTTTGTTTTTAAATCTCTCTGACCATCTTTGAAATTTGGCCACAAAAATAAATATCCTTTTCCTGATTTCCAATATTAATTTTGCTCTTTTATATGGAACATATATCAAGACCTAACCTACCAGGATCACTTTGATATGTTAAGTATTCTTGCATGTTTGGGTTGCAATGGACATTAGTAGATTTACCTAAAGTTACATTCTTTGAGAAAAGTGACCACCCCCATTTGTCCCAGCAGCTAACAATTGCCAGGAGCTCTTGGGTGTAGTGTGGTGAACTTCCTTAGAAAGTCCAGTTTCCATAGTAGAATTTGGTATGGTTTCGGCTTGCAAAGGTCTTGGGTTTGTTATCACAACCAATTGCAGATTGTATGTGCTGCTGCTAAGCTATGTCCAGAAGACACTGTTTTCTTTCTAAACCTTTACCATGTCTGGCTCCTACACTCTTTCTGCCCTCCTTCTGTAATGATCCCTGGGCCTTTAAATTAGAAGTGGAGTATATACATTCCATTTAAGGCTGGATATTCTGAAGTCTCTTACTATCTCCAAAATCGTCAGTTGTGGGTTTTACTATGTAACCCTGCTGACCTAGAACTCACTATATAGATCCTATATAACCCACGTAGCTTCATTTGATTCTCCATTCCAACTGCTGGGATTGAAGGAGTGAGCCAACATACCTGGCTCTAGGTTGGGAAGCTTATGTTTCATTTTCATTGTTCTGTGCTTCTCAGGTTTTTGTCTCTGTTTATAAGAAGCTCTCAAGTCCTGGGATCACAGGCAGTACATGCTTGGCTACACATGGCTTTGTCTTATATAACATAAACCAACAAAAGTGGATCTCCAAACACTGGACAGCAGGAACAATTTCTACTAATTTCAAGTTCAGGTGAAGTGACTAATGACAGGTGAAAATGTGCTTCACACATGCTCAGCTTTACAGCAGGGTAATAACTACCCATGATGCAACAGACCTTCTCTCCAAGGTTCAGCTTCTGTACTTCATTTGATAAACTAAAAAATGCCATTTCCCCTTGCCATCCATGAATGCTATGATTCCCCAGGTTCTGAAACTGGTTCAGGGAAGAGATGAGGGAGGGCTCAGAGAGCCCTACTGTCCCCACCAGGAAGGTCACAGCAGCTCAGAGGGAGGGAAGTGGCTTCCAGGTCCTGACTGTCAGATGCTGGGACCTCCTGCAGTCTTACCTGCAGCATTTCCATGGTTGAGCACTGCAACTGATGCTCCACATCTGAGATGAGGTCTCTCACTGACTCTCTCTGCTTCACCAGCTCACTTTGAGACTCTGCCAGGCTGTTCATAATGTCTTCCTCCTCCTGCTTCAGCTTCTGCACCTCATTCTTCTCCTCGGAGTCCAGGAATTCCCGAAGTCCTTTAAACTCCATTTGAACTTTTTCTACATCACCCTGTATTTGGTTCTTCAGGGATAAGAAAAGGGAGAGGAATTCAGACTATGCTAATGGGACTGGAAGACAGAAAAACACTGTTCTGATGGGGAGTTCTCACAGGGAAATGAGCTTGGGAAGGGAAGGGAGTCTTAGGGAAGCATGTGTCCCCTCTCATTGTCTGTTGATGACATTCCAAAACAAAGATCTTAGGTCACCTTTACCAAGTCCATTTAAGCCAAAGTGGAATGCCTAGATGTGTCTCAGTTTTCACACAGCTGCCCCAGACTCTTTTTCTGCCTGTAAATCTCCTCATTCCACCTCTGAACCCATGAGAGAAGCTAAACCTCAAGAATAGAACTGTGCCTGTTCCCAAGCATCTTCCCCAACAGTCACAGCTACAGAAAGCACCATAGGAGTGAGATCCAGGACTCATTGCCCACTCTCACCAGACCTCCTCCATGGTGTCAGTTCCCTACATAGCCAGGCTCAGTTGTGATGCACTCAGTTTGCAGCCCCAGCTCCAAGGGACAGGTAGAGAGGACTAATAAAGGCCTCTTGTTCTCATCAACTACCTGGGAATGGAGAGCCAGGGAACTTCTTGCCCAGGTCCCTTCCAGGCATCAGCCTAACTCCCTTAGGAGCTAGGGTCCTCACTTGCCTTCCAGAAAGTTCTCTCCTGTTGAAGGTCATCTTTCCACTCATCACATCTTTTCTCATTTGTCATCTGCATCTGCAGAGCTGCCTGGAGCTTCCCCTGTGGGAGAGGAATTGTAGCCGAATCAAGCTGTGTGCTTAGTAGGACTGTTGTTTCTAACAGAATACCAAGAAACCCTTCTGGAAAGACAGGAAACCTAAGACTGTTCCCTTTTATAAAAGTTGTGCTATGATTTATGTACATAAAGTATGTAAGTCTTCAGTCTCCAGCTCAATCCATACTTGTACTTATACACATACAACCCCCATACAGACAAAGACACAGAAATCTCTCTTAGTCAACCATCCCACCAAGTACAAACCTGTTAGCTTGATTCTAGCATCAGAAAACTGGGATAATTGTGTTAGCTTTTCTGGTCTTTCATATAACAATGCACATACATCACATGCCCCTGTAATGTCCTATTATACACCTGCAGTTATAAAAATTGGGTCTTCCTATGTAGCCTGAGTGGTCTGGAATTTTCATGTAGACCCCTACACACTCAAACTCAGAGATCCACCTGCCTCAGCCCAGAATTCAAAGACTGAGTCATCACCACCACATTGTCCACATGTACATTCTTTTCTCTTCTATTTCCTTTTCTATTTTTTTTAAAATTTCATGTACATTGGTGTTTTGTCTGTATATCTTTGTGAAGGTGTAGGATTAGCTGGAACTGGAGTTACAGACAGATATGAGGTGTCATGTGTATGCTGGGAATTCAACCTTGATCCTCTGAGAAAGCCAGTGCTCTTAATCGATGAGCCATCTCTCTGGGTCTTCTTTTCTTCTTTTAAATTGTATATACATTTTTTTTGTAGTTAAGATTTCCTTCCTTCACTGAAAACATATTTTTTTCATACAATATATTGTGATTACAGACTTTCCTGCCCCTACTCCTCCTAGTTCTTCTCCAACTCCCCTCCCATACAGATCCACACCCTTTTTGTCTCTTGTTAGAAAACAAAGAGACATCTAAGGAATAGTAACAGAATAAAAGAAAACACAGTAAGAGAAATAAAAAACAAACCTATTGGAATATGACAAAACAAACAAACCAGAAAAAGAGATAAATAAAAAGCACAAGGAATGCATATAGATGCAGAGACATACAGTTTCCAACATATGGGAATCTCATTAAAACCCTAAGCCTTAATATACATGCAAGGGACTGGTAAAGCAGAAAAAAAAAAAGCCCAGATTTACAGTTATGAGAGAAAGAACCTCCAAATATGGGTTTCAGTTTATTGTGTGTTGGTCATCCATCTATTGGGCATGGGACCTGTCCTTACAAGTAAATGAATTATTTCTCCTGTGAGACTCCCTTGGAGAAAAATAATTTTTCGGGAAGGTGGGGGGGATGGGGGAGAACAAGGGAATCGTGGCTGATATGTAAAATTAAATTAAATTATAAAATAAAGTAATTAAAAAATTTTCATTTTTAAGTAGCTATCAATTGGAGATTGCTTTTGGGTTAGGGGTGGGGGCATGTGTCCACTTCTTCAAGCTCTAGGATCTCATCTGGTACAGACCCCTGCAAGCCCTGTGCATGCTGCAGACAGTTTCTGTAAGTTTATATGTGGGCTCAAAAACAAACAACAGAACACAAAGACCCAACACAGAGCTTGCCTCTGTGTATCTCATTATGGAATTCTTTCCCCTCTTGTCAGATGTACAACTGCCACATGCACATTCTCTTTGCTGCTGTCTGTCACTCATTTACTAATACCATTGTTGATGTCACTAGACTGGATTTTAGGTAGATGAATGAATCTGACATAAACATTGAAAGAAGATAAATATGGAATAAATCAGCAGTTCTGCTCTTGGCTTTTCTTGGTCATTGACTCAACTTCATAGGGACAGTTCCAAGACATTTTTTTTCTATCCTAGTATTTGTAGTCCAGGCACATTCTCATATGAGTAAGTGGAATAAATCATCATGTGTTTTTAGGACTCTAAAGGCAGGAAAGGATGGAATGATATATCAAGCCTCGAGCCTATGATGTCCACATTATTGACCTGTCACACCAAGTGGAGTTTTCTCATCTGTTACTGTCTCCTGCTCTGTGTCCCACACCCTCCCATTTCTTACCTTGTACTCTTGGGCCACCTTTTCAATGAGATCTGTTTGGTGACCACGGTGCTCCTGAGATTTCTCACAAAGCCAGCAGATGGCCACCATGTCCTTCTCACAGAACAGCTGGAGTTTCTCTCCATGTTGTGCACAGACATTCACCTTCTGCTCCTCCTCTGGACTGGACTTGAGCCATTTTAGCCTCTCCACTATGTTGGCCATATGTCGATTAGGCCTCAGATTCCCAAACAGGTAACTCACTCGGCACACAGGGCAGATGCCCTCCCCTTCTTTGCCTTTGTTAGACTCATAGTTCTGTGTGATGCAGGCTCGGCAGAAGCTGTGACCACAATCGGCATTCACAGGTTCCACCATCAGGTCAAGGCAGATAGGACAAGTCACCTCCTCCTTGATCATCACCAAGACTGATGAGGCCATTGTTGCTGTAATCCTCTGTCTGTCTGTACTGACTCCTGACACTTATGCTCAGGTACCTGTGTGATTTGAATGATGAAAAGGGGGACAAGTAAGAAAGGGAAAATCAGCATGGACACTGTGCAGACATCAATCAGTGACCTTGATGATAAGGGAAAAGAACACAGGAGAGAAATAGAGACAGAAGTTGAATGACATGGCTAAAGGAGCATTTTGTCATACTTTCAAGGCCTCTACTCTAATTTCATCCCAAGTGACAAATTTCAGATACAGGGTTGTTGTTTCCTTTTACTGAAGAGCAGAAAGTGTTTCCTTCCAACAGCCTGTGTAACCTACATTCTATCCATGCCTTTCTTTCCAAGGACAAAATCATATTTTCACATTAAAAGCATCAAACTACTCATGTCTCTGGCAGCTGTACTTGCTCTTTTATCAGCAGTAGTCAGTGTGACCCT